CTTTCCCCAGGGATGGAGGACTGAAGAGGGAGAAAGTGAAAGACACATTCAAGGAGGAGCAACAGAAACTCTACAGCAAAATGATTGTAGGCAACCACGAAGACCGGAGCCGCTCATGAGCCCTCTGCCTCCAGCACTGTTACTGGGCCTGGCCAGAGCCCTCTGCCTCCAGCATGCATCAGGGCTCATCTGAGGCAGCTCCAAATCTTTGGACTTGGGCTACACCAGAGCTGCTTGGACTTGCTTCCTCATTCTCTGGCTGTTCATTCCTGGAGGCACTATTATTGCACGGGGTCTTACGGCCCTGGGCAGCTCTTGGCAGATGCCTTCTTGTTACTGTTACAGTGAAGTCCCTTGCAGGGGCAATATTAAATGAAACACTTATGGTATCATATGCTTCCATATGGTGTTTACAGGCTCAGGGGGTGGGCTGGTGTGTTGATGTGCTTGTGTGTCAGTCACAAGTCTCCCACAGCACAGAAGTTGGTGAGCTGCACTGAAATTGGCTGCCTTGACAACCAAGGGAGACTTCATGAGCCTGTGCCTAACATGTCTACAGCATAAACCCCTTAGGAGCCAGTATGGTCTCCCAGGCCATTTCCAGTTTTACACTGAGAAGGAGAAACCTTTCCATTTCCTTTTGCCACACTCCTGACCCAGACCATTGCTTCCGCAATATCTGAGTAGCAGCCTCTTTGCTGAGATTCCTCAAGGGATGAGGATCATCCTCCCTGGAAGTCTCCCTCTGTCCCCTGGAACTGCACATTGCCAGGCAGCTGTCACTGGCAGGTGGGGCTCTTGAGGAACCCCTATGTGCCATGGCAGGAGCTCAGGGTGGGTAGGAGAGTTGGAGACTCCATGGCTGGTGTGGAAGATAACTCTTTCAAATGTCTCCTGAGGGAAACAATGGGATCTGATCTTGTTGCACACCAACATGCACATACACAATTTTGTCACAAGGAAACTGAGATTTTGTGCTGGACGTGGTGCCCCTTTCAGCCCTGCAGCTGTATTGTTCAGTAAAACAACTTGGATTTGAGCGTTCATTCCATGTACTTTCCAATTTTCCTTATGTTTCTACAACCTTTTTTAGCACTTTGTTGCTCCTCTGCGTGCTCTTACAAGCAAATGCTGTTCTGCTGCCTGCAGAAGCCTGTTTACATTTTCCGGAATGCTACAGAAGGCAATTCTTAACTGCCTCCTCTGTACCCCAAGTGGTGTCTGCTGGGGAGGGAATCTGCTGTCCCCCAGGTCTGGACAGCTATTCTGTGCAAGTGCCCTTAAATCTGAATTTCCCTGCACTAGCGACCGACATGGATTCAAGGTTGTTTAGTTCCTGCTTGTTTATATCTGGGTAAAGCACCATCATAGCAAGGAAGAGAGACAGAGAAAAGAAAGCAACAGAGGGAAAGGGAGGCCAGGAAGTCCAGTAACCTTTCCCAAGAGACATGACACACACAGCCCTTACTTACAGTTTTAGTTCTGCCCTGATTTGCATTGTTAGTGGCTTCAAAACCCTCTTTTGAGTCACTTAGATTGTCTGTGCCTCCACACAGTGCATGAGCAGGGTTCCACTGTGCTATTTTCCACCAGCCCAGGACCATCAACTTACGCATTCATGAACTGAACTGTTCCCAGTGCAATACTGGAGAGGGGATGGTCTTCCTCACTCTCAGTGATGTAAAGCTACACTTAATAGCATATGAGCTGTTAACATACGGTTATGGGAAATATTTCTATACTGAATTGATTTACCTTTGCTTCTTGTAGTGCTCAAAACATAATCCTTTATAAATATACACGCAGAGATGCATTACCTACACAAACACTGTGTTCAGTTATTGATGGTCTGTTACACGTGACTGCCATTAACATCCAGCCTCACCAAGAGGAACCAGACTGTTCTTGTCTGGTGATGGAGACACCCTTACTGGCCCTGTGCTTTTTACTGTTTCCCCAATGCTGTATTCTTCTGCCCAACTCCAACTGTAGCAATTGATCTGGGAAAAAAAAGAGAAAGCCACAAAGCCTGGTATCCGCTCTTATGCCAGGACAAGGTGAAATGGTTTTAAACTGGAGGAGAGGAGGTTTAGACTGGATCTTAGGAAGAAGTTCCTCAGTGTGAGGGTGGCGAGACTCCGGAACAGCTTGCCCAGAGAGCTGTGGATACCCCCCCTTGGGGGGTGTTCAAGGCCAGGCTGGATGAGGCCTTGAGCAACCTGGTCTAGTTGAGGGGCGTCCCTGCCCAAGGCAGGGAGGTTGGATTAGATGGTCTCTAGGATCCCTTCCAACCTCAGCCATTCCGTGATTCTTTCCACCAAAGAGAACAAAACAAAAGCAGCTGAAGCAGAGCAAGAGAGCATGGATATGTACAGGGTTGAAGTGTGTTGCTTTCACTCCTGGCTACGGATAGACGAGAACAACTGCTAGTTACTAATAGATACCTCATTTACCCAGGATGGGACCCCCTCCTTAGGAGTATATTAGGGCAATGAGAGTCTATTCACCATCATTTTGATGTACTTGTTTCATCCAGCTTATGAGGTGCAACTCCTGACCTCCGTTCACCAATCCTCCATCCATGGCTGCTAACCTACATGGGCTGTTGCTTTGCCACTTGAAAAGTAAGAAAGGGCAGCCCTTAGCTCCTTGGCAATTGTCATATTTATGCAGAGATTTTTGACCATCAGGTTTTGCTTGTGTAAGAAATGTTGGATATAGCACATGCATTAACCAGTAGCGTGGTTAAGATTCAGTTTCCAAGTAGGTGCATGTTACCCTGTACTGTTTGCCTCTACCATTTAATCATAGCATTTTACAAGCTGTATTTGCTCCAGTTCCTACCTGAGTCATGTCCTCGCCCAAAAAGCTATTTCTGACCTGCATGGCAGCCTCTGGTCAGGGATGATGGCTTGAGCCCTCCCCAGCTTTTCCCTGACTGAGCTTTGCTGCCCAGCCCCAAGGCTTGCAAAGCTCTTCTCTTGATCAGCTGGCCATTTAGACCAAGACCTCCAACCAACCCGCCGTGCTCGGGGACTGTCTCTGGCAGCCTTGCTGCTGCTGGGGTGCTCTGCGAGCTGGCTGGACAGGTTAGGAGGCACACATCCATCTTTCCTCATCCCCCCCCTCCCCATGTCCCCAGTCAATACGTCTCTCTCCAATGAGAAAGTTAATAAATTTAGCTCTAGATTAAAAGTATCGATCATTTCATTTGTAAGCGATAAATAACCGGGGGAGCTGCTGGGCAGCCCGTGGGGTAGGGGCTGCTGGCTCTGGCGGCAGCAGCCATGCAGCCCACTGGGGCCGGGGGCCCTCATATGCATTCTGCCCGGATGCTGGCATTGATTTGCTATTAGTCTCCACGCACCACCCAGTAGCACATCATTCCCAGAGCCGCTATTAATGGCCTTTTGATAAATAATCACTTGTAAGTCAATAAATTTTTATTAAACAGTGTGGCGCTTTGATTTATGAAAATCCGACGGGGTTTGTCTGGGAGAAAAGGGATGCAGAATTGAAGCGGAGACGCTATCCATCTGCCTGCCAGGCTGCCCTGCCTGAGCTTGCACCCACACGCCCCCCGGAGCAGCCGTCCCAAGCTTTGCCCACAAGCTCCGGGCCTTCCCAGACCCAGATGCCCCTCCCCCCCAAATGTGGGCAGAGGGCAGATTTGGGGAGGGCAGAGATGGTGCTCACTGTTGTCCATCCCCATACACCACACTGAGAGCCCAGTGCCGGCAGAGGAACCTCCCTGATGCAGCAGGAAGCGGCCAGTGGTGTCGGCATGGGAAGCAGGGCAGTGGGAGTGGTGGCAGGAGACCTGGATGGTCCTGGGGGGACCAGCACTGCCCAGGGGCCCGGCTGGTTGCAGGGATGTGCGGAGCAGCCAGGCTGCGGCTGCGATTTGTCACCCTCTCCAGCTGCAGCAGGCCCTTTGCCACCTGCTTTATTTGTCTCCCAGCCCTGACGTGGCACCAGACAGGTGTTAAACTACTTAATCACTTTAAAATTGTTTTAATTTTCTGTTTTGTATTGATCTCCACAGCACCAATTAATCAGCTCACTGGACCAGGCAGTTAGTACATTAAAAATTGTCAGCCATGCTGGGCAGCTTAGAAAATGTCAAAAAAATATCCCGACAGCAGCTCCTCGGTTTTCCCGCCGTGCAGAACCTGCTCCTGCGGAGTGCTGGCTCTGCACACACGGTGACGTGGCTCCCCCAGCCCTGCCACCGGGCCCGGG